AGAAAATCCCACTGCCATCAAGTCCGTTGTAACTCATAGCAGCCACCCGTGGCCTTCTGAAACAGCTTTCTCCCTAGGAGCGGCCCAGGGCCCGCAGGGACTCCTGGGACAGTGCGGTGAGCTGTGCAATGTGGACAGCTACATGGGCACCAGTGGGTCTGCTCAGCCACAGGGCGCAAACTGCCTGGGGAGCCCGGATGGATTTGGAAGTGGCAGCTGGGGCCCTCCTACCCTTGTCATGGCCTCCAAGAAGACCTGAGAGGGAGAGAAGGTGATCTCTTCCTTCTTGCCCCACCCCCCACCCCCAGGCTGTGTCCCCAGCATCACTGGGAGAACCGGGAAGCTCAGGGGTGGGCGCAGGCACTCGTTCCTTTGTTTGCTCATCCACGGCTGTGTTCGTTCATCATTGAGCGTTTGCTAGGCACCTGCACCTGTCCTAGAGGCGGGAAGACAACGGCGGGCAAGGCCAGGGCAGCATCTAGTGTAAGACTCTGGGCCCACTCTGGGCTCGCTCCTCGCGTAGACTACGATGTGAGCGGAGCCCCTGAAGGGGTCCCGGGTGGCCTTGGGGAAGATACAGGTTCTGCCCGATGAGTGGGCAGACAGACCATAGCAGCATTCACTTCAAACACCAGTGCAGACCTGTGCTGACGCCTGCGGTCTGGGCGGAAATCGCCAGGGGCAGTATGGATGGGGGAGAGGTGGGACTGAATATTCCCAGCAAAGACAAGAAGAGGCCAAGGCTGGCACAGGGATTCAGAGAATAGGAAACCGGGCAGAAGAATGGGGCTGAGGCGGGAGCGGGCGTGCTGGTGGTGAGGAGCGCTGGAAAAGCCATCCTCCTGGATGCAGTGCCCCCCCCCACCCCCCGAGGGTTTTGAGCAGGGGAGTCTCCTGACCGGATAGGCACTTTATCCAGAAGGTTCGGCTGCAGTGTGGGAATCAGGTGGGGAGGGCACCGCTTTCCAGCAAGGGCACCACGGGTTTCTGCAGGGGTTCAGGCAAAAGTGGGCAGTAACCTGGCTTGGGGAAGGGGCTGGCAGGAAAGGGTGGAACTGTGGGAGCTGCCCTTGAAGTAGGTGCCGGGGAGAGGGAAGAGGCTTGGGTTTCTGGACTGGCTGACTGAGGATACTGGCGGGTTAGTGTGTTAAGGAGATAATGATTGCCCAGTCTGTGGTCAATAAGATCCTATGCAAATGGTGGGGATCACAGGATCACAGAATCCTAAATCCCAGCTCTGCAGAGACTTAAATGTAGAGACAGAAATGCACAGTCAGGTTCTGGCCCCAGACTTCATGCCTGTCCGTACCCTGCTTTAGACTGCCAAGTCATGAGGCCCCCTCTTCATCCACGAAGAACCTTCTATGCACCAGGCACCATTAGGCACTAAAGATAGGATGTGGAATAAGCTGCAGGCCCCACCCTCAAGGTGCGGGGGTGGGTGGGTCAGTGAAACAAGAACTGATGGTGCGGAGCTGAAGGGCTCTGGCAGGAATGCCTGGGCACTCTCAGAAGGGCATGCATGCAGGCCTGGGAGGGCAGGGAGAGCTACCAGGAAGGAGGAAGGGGATGTGCCCAAGGCAAGTCCTAGAGCGAGAGGAGGGCTGACCAGGTCACGTAGAGGAGTGATGAGCAGAGCGGACACTTGTAAAGGGAACAGCAAATGCAAAGCCCAGAGAGATCCACGAGGCCACCAAGGCCCATAGAAATTCAGCAACTCACTCACCCAACGTCACGCAGCTCATTGCCCAAAGAGACAAGAGTAGAGCTCAGTCTCTCGTCAGTGTGCCTTGTGCTTCTAATAACAGCTCCCCGCCCCGCCCCTTCTCTCTTGCTCCTGTGTCTGACTCAGAGAGATACATGAGCCAGGGGAGATAAGCTATCCCACAGAACTGAACTGAACTCAGCCCAAAGGCGGAGGTTACCCATCAACTAATCCTCACCTTCTGTGCCCACTCCTACTGGGCTGCTGTACCACCCCAGCCAGTAAAGTTATGTCCACTATAAAAAACAGTCCAAAAAAAAAAAAAGTCACAGAGCCAGAGCCCTCTCCTCTCCCCACATCTTACCTACCCAGCCCCTCAGTTCTCCTGCCTGCTCCTAACTCCCAGCCACAAGTGGAGTTTTCTGAGGTGCTTAGGGATACTCCTCCCGCTGAACTGCCATCTCTCTGGGGCCAGAGGGGACTGTGTTTTTATACTTCTTGGCAGCCAGGTTTACTCAGAACATACCCATGCAGGGAGCTCTCACCATGGCCATGACATCTGGCTAGATGCTGGTGGGGTGGGGAGTGGGGGGGGCAGAGAGATGTTCCCTACCCTCAGGGAGCAGGGTCATGGGGAGGACCCTTGCCCCTGGCCCACCAACCACCCAACACTGTTGTATTCCAGCCATCCAGCCTGGTAATAGAGCTCACGCCCCCAGAGCAGGGCTTTCCCTATAGTACCAGACTCCTGGTTAACTCGGCTGAAATCTTCCCTTCCTATCGCTTTCCCACATTGGCACCACTCATTGTACTGGGAAGAGTAGAAACTCTGCGTAACTGATTTTTAATATGCCAGCCCTTCTGTATTTTAAAACTTGCTTCGATGCCTGCAGTGTCTTCACATGACCCCATCCCACCAGGACTTCCCTTCTCGGGAACCTCAGGATGCTCACTGCCCCGGCCAAGTGCTGTCCCTAAATTGAGCAGGTGCTCCAGGCAGGCTCTGGTCAGGACAGCTGCTCCCTTATGCCAGGGGCTTCAGGTAGATAGGCACCAGGACAGACAGATAGCTGCCATCTGGCTGGTGCTGACTCATGCTGGCGACCTCACGCACAACAGGGCACTAAATTTCCCAGGCCCGCACCACCCTCAAGCCCACCGGCTTATGTCCATCGCTACGGCTACTGCACCTGCGCATCTCACCGACCGTCACCCTCCCCTTCATTCGCCTTCCATGCCACCAAGCAAGCTGTCCCCCTGCGGTGATTGACCTCTCCTGACGACGTGTTCTGCTGTGATCCAGAAGACTGTCATCAGACGCTTTCCACAAGTAGATCATCGGTTCTTTGTTCCTACTCTGCCTTAGGCTGGTAGCTCTGCTGCGAGCTTTCGTCCTGGAGTGGCCCTGCAGGAATTTGAAACGCCAGTAGCATAGCTCCCAGCATCACAGCAACCTATAAGCCACCACAGCACCCAAACGGATGGACAGGCCGAGGAGGGGCTGCAGTCACGCTCGGTGAAGGCCACCGAAGGCTGTACGCACTGCTTTGGCAGCCACATCACTGGCTGTGGCGCCTCTTAAGCTCACCGCTAAGTGGAACGCTAAGAAGACCTTTCTCCCAGAGCCAAGCCCACTCGTTTCAGACGAGTGCCGTGGCTTTTCAACACTAACTGCAGAGGCCTCTGTTCCATTTCGTGCTTTTCATTTGAACCGTCTTTCTGCCCTGATTAAATGTCTTTATTTCTTTCTCTCTTTCTTTAGCTAGGACTTTATCCTCACGGGATTAACTGTCCCTTCCAGCCTTGTGTCATCAGAAGGTTTGGTAATGGCCACCCTGCTTTGTCAAGCGTGGTCGAGCTGGGCAGGACCAAGGACAGCGCTCTACTCAGCGGGCCTGGAATTGACGACAGGAAAAGGCAACGTTTCAAAAATCACTCTGACCGAGAACTGCTCACCCGATTATGCTGCCGTCTAATCCACACATCCCCATCGCGCCCACACGGAGGGCATGGGAGATGTTGTCAAACGCTCGAATGGAAGCCAGATGCCCACAGCCAGCCCTGACCCATGCCGATAGGCTGGCATCAGTGCCCAAAGAAAGAAGTGCAGTTCCTTCAGTTTAACCCAATCTTGCGATCTCTTTGAACTTTTACCAGCTTGTCTTCCCAGCATCCACCTTGCCCGGTGTCTGAAGCATAATTGTTTAGAGTCTACACCTTCAAGAGCCAGATGAGAGATTGGAGGCGGTTCAAGGACTGATTTCTAATTTCACTGAGCAGGAAACCAATGCCTAGAGGGTTTAATTGGCATTCCCAAAGTCAGAGTTCATTAGCGGAAGAGCGAGAATTAGATGCCATGTCTATATCTCCAAGTTCAAAGTTCTTTCTCAACGGTGGCACATTTTTCTCTGCCTGTACACGCACGTGCGCAGTACACACACACACACACACACACACACACACACTTTTCTCCGGGTTTCCTAAGTGTCTACCAAGTCAAAACACTAGAATAAATTAAAAAGAAACAAACCTGCTGGCATTCAGTCCATCCTGACTCGAGTGGCCCTATCTAGTGTTTCCAGAACTGAACCTCTTTATAGGAGCAGACAGCCCCGTCTTTCTCCAGCCATGGTAGCTGGTGGTTTTGAACCCTTGATCTTGTGGTTAGCCACACAATGCCTAACACACAGCGCCAAACCTTAGCAGTACCTTTTTTTTCCCTCTGAGTTTAATCGGGACCCCTAGGATTGACCACTTTCCCCTCCTGCTTCCCAGCCAAAGAAGAAGGTCCAGGACCCCTCGTGGGAGATAGACCCCTCCCCACCCCAGTCTGGGTTACTCTTGAGAAATCTACACCCCACCCCCCAACCAGAGGAACCCACTGTCCTTGTGCTTCACGTGAGTTTGAGTGTGCCTGGGCATGGGGCTTGCCCTCGGGTGGGCGTAAGTTGGGCTCTCTTCAGCCTGGAGTAGGAGGGTGTGGGCACTTCCCTGGAGAACCATGGGCCACGCACTAGTGGTTTGTGGGGCAGTTTGGGATCCCTGCGTAAGGGCCTGGTGCTGCAAGGCTCACCGGGCCCTGCCATGGGACAGCCTTGACAGGGAGTTAGGCAGCGGCCTGGGCTGGGTCCCCGGGGACTGGGCCCCAGGGAGGGCAGGGGGGGGTGATTCAAACCGGGAGCACTAGAGACAAAAGAGGGGTGCCTACAGAAAGGATGGGCCCAGACAGGGAGATCCCTGGTACCCTGGACAGCCCCTCCCCACCCTCCCCACCCCCCCTGGAGGCCCTGGGTACCTGTTTATTCTTTAGGTCAAGGGAGAGTTCGTAATCGGAGGCGCCAGGGGTGTGGGAGCAGAGCGCCGTCGCCAGGGCAGGCTGCTGCTGGCGGGGGGAGGCCGCGCGCTGGGGGCCAGCCTGAGGGGAGGCACCCCCCGCCCCAGGCCGCTCCTCCTCCTCCTGCAGCTCCTGGGCTTGAGCCTTCGGGGCATGGGCACTGGGTCTGCCGGCTGCCACCGCCGCCGCTGCCACCACGGAGGCCTCCATGCCCCCACCGGCCTGGGCGCAGGAGCCGTCACTGTGAACAAAAGGCAACGGTGCTCGGTTGGGGGAGCGGGGAGGGGGTGCATGTGGGTGCAGGGGTCGGGGAGGCTGGGGCAGTGGGCTTTTCTAGGGATGGGGCTGGTGGGCTTCTGCCTCTGTGCCCTTCAGTGGGAGGCCATCCTGGCAGGGAAGCCCTGGGGGGAGTGGGGGCGGGGCCTGGGCCATGGAGGAGAACCTGAACTTGCAGAAGGAGGGGCCACTATGGCCAGGGTCCTTGAATCTCGGCTTGGAAGCAGTATAGCAGAGTAGCAAAGTACGGACTCTGGGTCCAAGCCTGGGCTCTGACCCTTATCAGCTACGTGACCTGAACAGATGGCTTAGTGACACCACACCCCTGTTTCCATAGCTGCGAAACGGGCCTAGTAATGGTCCCTATCTCCTAAGGAGGTTGGGACGCTTACATTCAAGTCCTCAAAGCAGTGCCTGCTCACGGTCACTGCTCTCTCTCTGTGCTGAGGATTGTCGGGATAGGTGGCCGGAGGAAGTGGACACATGCTGAGCTGGCTTGGGGGGCTGCTGGCCTACGTGGAAGACAAGCTGCTCCACAGTGGGCTGGGCTTGCAGAGGGGTGTGGAGGTTGCCCAGGTGGGTTTGGACAAGAATCTGCTCTTCTCTGGCCCTTCCTCTCCTCCCATGAGCCTCCCATGAAGCTGCCCACCTGCCTGCTCTCAGAACACTACTTGGAAACCCCACACTCCAGCCTGCTGGGCAGGCCGCAGGGGCGTTCGCTCTGGCTGCTTCCTCCTCCAGCCACTCCCCAAGCTCTATCCTTCCCTAAGAGACAAGCGCCAAGCTGTCTCCCCCACAAAGCCTTCTTGGATGACTCCGGCTTCCACCGCCCTCTCTCCTACAACACCCAGACCTGTCCTTGGAGAGCCCCTGTCTATTTCAGATAGGGGGTGAGGCATCTTGGTTAACAGCATGGATTCACATCCAGGCTCCACCACTGCACGGGCCTTATCAAGCTGCCTTTGCTCTGAACCTTGGTTTCCACAGCTGTACGATGGGGTTCTGGTTCTGGTGGGGGGAAGGAGTCAGTCGGTGTGCGTCCGGGGTTTAGCACAGCACCTGACACTGAGTAAGTAAGCTCAGTACGCACGAGCTCTTATTTCTCCAATCTTCTGCCCTCCCAGAGGCCAGAGCTTGCCCTCTGCTTCATTCTCGGTTCCCCATGGAGTGTGCAACACAGTGTCAGGCAGTGAATGCTCAATACACACAGGCCGCCGAGGAACGTGCTAAAGAGACCTCACAGGCCACAGTGAGGGTCTGTCTCCACGGTGGGCAGTGACAGGAGGTCAGGGCTAAATTGAACCCTAAGTGTATCTAGTCCAGCCGCCCAGCCTCGCCTTTAAACAGATGAAGAGCGTGGGGCCTAGGGAAGTGACCCCCCAGGGGAGGGCGGCCTTCAGGCCTTTCTCTTTCAAGCCTATCCTCCAAGGAATATTCATGGATTACGCCAGAGGAAAGACTTCCTCCTGTGGCATCCACCCAACCTCAGGGTGAAGAGAGGCATTCTTCCTGTGCCTGGCACTGGAATCGCCAGAGATGGCAGGAGAGGTCTTCTCTTTGTTCTGTTCCAATCCATCTTCTCAGTAGCCCCCTGCTCCCTCTCCCAAATATAGGAGAGCCCATTAACCAGCCCCAAAAACAAGGAGCCTCCAGCACCCTACAGAACTCCTCATTACCACGTCAGTATTTCTCTGCCCCACTATTTCTTGTGGGGTCACCAACCCAAGCGGGTGAGGCTCTAGATAGCTTAGGGGTGCTTTGTCACTCGTGCACCAGAAAGCTCATTTTAAATTTCACTTCGATATCTCTTCTTATCATACATGGGCATTCTGTCATCAAGGCACATGGAAATAGCCCTTTCCTGCCACTGGCACAGTCTATCCTCAGAGCCTGGAGGGCAGCCTTCAGTCCACCCAGTTCTTCTCCAGAATGTCCCTGGCACGGATGCCCAGGGCCTCTTCAGACCAAAAGATTTTCCAGTCGTCAAAGAACCGGTCGTTGCTCAGGGTTGTCTTTTACTTTTTTAATTGCTGGACAATACTTGGCAAGAGTTGAGGGCCCTCAACAGCGGTGCTCAGCCAACGGTGAAGAGGGCTGGCGAGTAAATGGCCCGGCTTCCTTGTCCCTCAGATAGACCATTCTGAGGCACTTTTGACACCATCTCCCGAACACTACCCAACAACGAGTCACTGGATGGACTTCTTTTTCTTCATCGTCTCACTTCCCCGCTTCCTGCAGCACTTTCCCCAAGATCACCTTGCCCCAGATAAACTCCCACGCTGCCATTCCGTCGCTGCCGACTCATAGGGACCCGATCGCACAAGATAGAACTGCCCCGGTGAGTCTCGAGACTGTAACTCTGTAAGGGAGTAGAAAGTCCCATCTTTTCCCCACGCAATGGCTGGTGGTTTTCAACCGCTGCCTTTGCGGATCACAGCCCACCGTGTAACCACTAACACCACTTCCATTAAAGCAAAATGAAATACGCCTTTCTTTGTTGGCGGACCTTTGTTTGTAGGCTACCTCTCTGGGTCTAGATAAAGACTCCAACCTTATTCATAGGCCCTCTGAATTAGGAGTGACATCAATGCCACTTGCAGCACACACATGTGTGCTCATGTGTGTGCACACGCGTGTGTGCGCGCACACACACACATTCATGCACATGCAATGTTTCTAACTAGTTCTATGGCTTTGGACTATTTAGGCCTTCCTCCTGGACCTTGGGGTCCTCACCTGTCACATGATGGGAGCTTGTTCATCTCTAAGGCCCCTTCCAGTTTGGACATCCTTTGGAGCTTGAATTCCAACAGTCCAACAACCCAACAAGGCCCACTGGTCCCATGCTTCCAGGCTCTCTGGCTGGTGGAACCAGCTCTGCCTCTGTCCACCAACATGCCCAGAGACTTGAAAGACAATCCGCCTTCCCAGATGTACCAGAAAAAAGGGTTGGGAAAGGGGGCGTGTTCTTGTGTTTCTTGCCTAGGCGCCCCGGCAGACTTGTGAGACCGAAGTGGCTGTGGAGCTCCGGGACTACACTCCTCAATATCCCACAGATCAAGGTTATGGACCGAAGGGCAAGCAGCATGGGCTTGGCGTCAGGCAGACCTGGGCTAGAATCCTGGCACTGCTACTGACTGTGTGGCCTTGGGAAAGTCACCTGACCTCTTTGTGACTCTATTTTCTCCTGTGTAGTATGGACATCCTAAGAACTACTTGGTAAAGTTATAAGTAATCATTTCCAGCGGGGTTACTTATTCTTTGCTGTGAAGAATAGATGAAGTATGCAAAGTACCAAGTGCCTGGCACATGACATCTCTTCATAAATGATGGTGGTGGTTATTTTCTGCTATATTATGCTAGACCAGTGGTTCTCAACCTTCCTAATGTTGCGACCCTTTAATACAGTTCCTCATGTAGTGGTGACCACCCCACCCCCCCAACCATAAAATTATTTTTGTTGCTACCTCATCACAGTTATTTTGCTACTGTTATAAATTGGGCAACCCCTGTGAAAGGGTTGTTCGACCCCCAAAGGGGTTAGGACCCCCAGGTTGAGAACCACTGTGCTAGAGAACCACTCTTCTGGCATCGATATCTAGCCTTCCTGTCCAACATCACAGAACGGAAACAACTGGGTTTTTCATTACACCCCAAGGCCTTTCCCAGCACCTCTGGTTGACTCCCAGGATCTCCGAGGAGAGGACTGAAGAGGAACTGCTTTCTTGGATGCTTCCTTCTGCCCACCCTGGTTTTCCAACCTCTAGAGCACAGTCCCCACACCTATTTGGCATAACGTCTAGTTAGTTACTCAGCAGCCCCTGGCAACGGAAAGCTTTTGTACTATAGCCCGCAATCCCAGACAGAGTGTAAGTATCTGCGTTTTCACCACCACCCCACTCCCCGGGTCATTCCAGTCCCCCATGGGGCAGTGTCACTGTTCTGGAAAACACGGCACTAGAGCAACAACAAGGCGACAGGCCTTTGTCTCCAAGGCCCGGGCTCATGGCCTCTGAGGAATCTTTGTGTATAAACACCTACAGGAAGGCCCTTTGGTTGCCCCAAGGCGGGCAACCAAATCCATGGGGATTTGTCCCCCGCCCCTTGTGTGGATCTGTGCTTCGGCTCCTTTCTCCAGGGAGCAGTAGAAGCAGGAGTGCTCTGTTTGGAGATGGTATCAAGGGGATGTTCCCAACCTTCTGTCTGTCATGATGCTTCACCTGTAGAGATCATCTAAGGCATCGGTTCTCAACCTGTGGGTCGCAACCCCTTTGGGGGTCGAATGACCCTTTCACAGGGGTCGCCTAAGACCATCAGAAAACACATATTTCCAATGGTCTTAGGAACCGAGACCCCGCTCCTCTATCCATCTCCAGGCAGGTCCACCCACATGCAGATACGCCCACCTACCAGTACCCAGCGTGAAGACTGTTACCCATGCTACACCATGCTTCAAGACAAAATTTCACTGATTTGTCATTAGAAATAAATAGTTCACAATATATAATGACATGTTGTTTTTGTGATGAATCACTATGCTTTCATGATGTTCAATTTGTAACAATGGAAACACATCCTGCCTATCAGATATTTACATGGTGATTCCTAACAGTAGCAAAATGACAGTTATGAAGCAGCAATGAAAATAAATTTATGGTGGGGCGCCCCGCCCCCCATGAAGCGCTGTATGAAAGGGTTGCACACGGCGTGAGGAAGGTTGCGAACTGCTGCTCTAAGGAAAGGGGTTGGAATCCTCCTCCTAAGATGTCCTGGCTGAAGGGTCCTCTACCTCAACCCACAGCCTCTTACGGAACCGACAGCCCAACGTTTGCTCCTCCGAGAACACAAGCTTTGTCCTTTCCGCTCCCAGAATGTTCTGGTAGACCTCACTTTATGAAGCTGCTGTCCTTAGGGGGCCATATTTCCAGCAGCCTTGTCCATGACACTTGGACAAGAATCGTGTGG